CACTCGGGCAGAGTGACCCCTCGTTCTCAGAGACTTGAAACCGGGGTGTCACGGGCTCTGCCGGTCTCTGGAGTCCGGTTTGCGCTATGTGAATTCTCCCCACTGCTGACCAAGAGACCAGATAAGATCTAAGATAAGATATCTAACTTTATTGTCATTCCGAAAGGGTGGGGAACTTGTCTTTGGCGTCGCCACAGCGAACTGCCCGAAACAACACTCCACATAAAGTAAATACATGTTAAAAACAAACAGTCGTCTTAGACATTTCATACACTCCATATTACACTACCATTACACTAATCTGGTGGTGCCCTCTGACCCATAGTTATCTAAACGAATACATTCGCCCAGGTTTCGCATCACAAGACTGCTGTGGGAGTATTTCCTCAGACAGACCTTGGGCTTGATGTGTTCAGCTGGTACTGTTCTCTAGCAGTGCTAACGAGCAGTCAGTGTCATTAATAATGCTGACTTCAGGAAGCCGTTGTCTGCCAGCACAGCGGTCCAGCGCTCGTCTGAAACTGGGCCAGATCGGTCCAGTTTCCCTCGTCTTCAGTAGCTCGGATGCTTCAGGTACAGCCTGTGCATGATTTTTTCGGAGCGGGACGGGCTGGCTTGTCCGAATCCCAGCAGCCGGCGGAGATGGGGTCATTCAGACCCCTCTTGCCCTCCCGGCCCCTCTCTGGTCACACACCACACCCCCCAGGGCAGGAGCCAGCAGGGGATGTTTGAGACGCAGCAGAGAAACGGATAAACAAACATTACATCAGACCTGAAACTCCATTTCCTCTCAGCTGATACCTGGAGAGCACGCAGGAGATTGCAGATTACTGAGGCTCGAGATAACTGGAGCAGACATTAACAAGGCGCCTTCGCAGCTCTGTCACCTCTCTGGGTGTTCATCTGAGTCCGTCTGTCCCACCATCTGTCTGCTGATCTGTCTGCCTCTCAGTTCCCAGGTCTGACAGTACTGCTCCAGCAGTGCCAGGCTCTGCTGCTGCCCCTGTTCTGGGTCCAGATGGGCTGGCAGTGCCCAGGTCTGACAGTACTGCTCCAGCAGTGCCAGGCTCTGCTGCTGCCCCTGTTCTGGGTCCAGATGGGCCGGCAGTGCCCAGGTCTGACAGTACTGCTCCAGCAGTGCCAGGCTGTGGGCAACAGCAGGACCAGGTTCTCAGTGTAGAGCAGGAACTTGATCTCTGTGTCATGTAGCTTGAGACCAGTAGCTGCAGACTGTTCCAACGTTCCTGCTACCTCCTTGAGATAGATGTTGAACAGGGCTGGGCTCAGGCTGCAGCCCCTGTTCTGAGGGCGACAGCAGGACCTGGTCATCAGCGTAGACTGTCTCTCTCAGGTCAGGAGCTGGAGCTCAGGATGCAAATGTTCGAGGACGACGATGAGGAAGAGGAGCCTGCGGTCCTGACACGCGTCGTGGGCCTGCTGCTCCGGGTGGGGCTCCGATCGTACCAGCAGGCCCTGCTGCTGTGGGACCAGGTGCAGCACGCCGTCTCCACGCTGAGGGACCTCGCCGACCTGGTGAGTCTAGGGGCATCAGAGCTCCTGGTGAAGCAGCGTGCCCCCGCCATCAGAAACAGTGCAGCTGCCCGCGGCGAAATACTGAAGCCGATCCACTGCAAGAGCTCTGAGGCTGAGCTCCTGTGTGACACTAATGCATACAAATACATGGTAGTGCAGAGGCACCAACGCACAATTGTGCAGAGACACAAACACACACAATTGCGCAGAGACACACAGAGTTGCCCCGAGACAAACACACAGGCAGACTGGGACACACGTGGGCTCTGTCTGCCCGTGTTTTTCTGAACTGTGTTCTTGGAGAAGGCCTTGCTTTTACTTTCCCTTCCCAGGAAATATTCTCGTGCCCAAAATTACCCCCCAGCCCCCCCCCCCAGTTCCCAATGGAAGGAACCTTTCCCAGAAAGCCGGCGAGCTACGTGCCCAGTGCCATGAATCCCCCATGTCCTGCCGCCGCTGGCATTCCGCAGGCTTCGAGGAGGGGCGGGAGAGGGGCTGTTATCACACAGCTCAGGGCAGTTGCGTGTTCCAGGGCCGGTCCTGTGGGGCCAGCTTGACAGCAGGAGAGAGAGGGGGAGAAATGCCCCAGCATCTGGCTCTGCTTAGCCGGGAGGAACAGGAGAGAGAGAGAGAGACACACCGGACCCGCGCAGGGGTCTGAAGCTCATCGCGGGGTGCGCTACGCTGCTGTCCTGCCCCCGGTGCTGGCAGGCCGAACCCCCATGCGGAGAGAGAAACACGGGGGTCCCATCGCCCCCTTTTCCCCAGCGCTCAGCCGATATCCCCGCTGGCGTCTCCTGAATTAGCCCCTCAATTCCCATGGTGACCCCCCAGAGTAGAACAGCTCCGTGCCGCAGGGCCCCACAGGGCAGGGACGCGCCGGGGGTACCCCACTGTTCGGAGGCAGGGGAAGAAGGGGACCCCCCGTTGTAGACGGCACAGTGGCAGCGGACCTTGAGCTGCAGGAGCTCGTGTTTCATCCACAATCCCAGGAGTCCTTCCAGCATGAACCCTGTGCTGCTCCAGCTGGCCGGGGGGGAGATCGTCTGGGCCGATAGGGCTGTCCTTGCCGGGCCAGCCCCTCTGGGACACTGCCTACGTGTCGCTGGCACAGCGATGAGGCATGAATCGGGTCAGAGCACGTCGCTGCAGAGGCTGCGGCCGAGCCCAGCTGTGGGAAAGGACGAGGAAGGAAACCAGGCCGTCTGGCACCATGAAGCAGAGCTTCTTCA